ACTTCACCAGTATCAGTAGGTCATAAGTGAAAAGCAGGGAGAGAAAATTTTATTATATACATTATTTTATAACAAGTGTACTATTTTCAGAAGCTTCTGAAAAAAATAACACTTGTCATTTGAGAGCTGCAGCTGTTAGTCTGTTGAGACTTAGAGGTTATGGGGCAAATATTGAATTATTCATGAAGGCTACTGCTCTAGTTGACAGAAGTTCATCAGCTAATTCCCCCACTCCATTATGAACTTTATTTCAAATTCAGTCAGGCTACAGGGGTACAAGCTGTTACTTTTAATAATCATGTACCAGAAGTTTCATAAACTGTATCTATCGCATAAGCTTTCTCTTTTAAGAAAGTTACTTACTGTTTATTGAGAGGTGATAAGTGCTTGATTTTAATACTTTTAATTCATGGGTTATGTGAATAATCTGATGTGCTTTCAAAATTTAACTTTAAATGTTAACTTTAAAACTTGTTAAACATTAAATGTAACTTTAAATTTTAACTTTAAAAACTTTGAAATGTTTGAAAAATGTATGTAATAATTTTGTTTTACCTTAATTCAGTTTGATGAACCAAACCCCCTGACATTTCTATTATATGCGTATTCAGGTTTTTCATTATTTACTAATACAAGGAAGTTTTGTGCTGTTACTTAACAATACATTTTTCAGTTTATAGGCCAATTCAACATATGTTACTGCAAGAAAATCTCGGTTTGCCCAACATAGGTAAATCAAGTACTTTATATTCCAAATGCTAATCCTCTTGCTTGCATGATGGAGTTGAACTAGATGATCTCCAGAGGTCCCTTCCAACCCTAAGTATTTTGGTATTCTGGGATAAGCCAACAATTTTGTGGTGCAGGCTAACAGATTAATGTTAAAATATTTTATGCTTCTGCGAGGTGGTGCTGACATTCTAGGTTAGTTTGGCAGACACCAAAATCACGTCATGGAGTGCTCACAGTGGATATTGTAGGAATATTAAATATCAAAGACTGTGTCCCAGATTGAGTGATAAAGAGCTGTGTACCTCTCACACAAGGGGTTACACAAATGCAGCTTTTCACATAGGCAGAATTGTCAGCTATCTCTACCTTGGCCACAGCAAAAGCACAAATCTTATCAGCTTGTATTTGTTTCCTTTAGGCGATTACTCTCTCTTTTTACATGTCACTACAGTCTGATTTGGGAGATTTGAGTGCAGTAGGAAATTTCAGTAAAAATTTCTTGTTCAGTTCATCCCATTCTCCTCTGTGGAGATTTCTCCATGAATGAGATTGAAAAATGTCTGTTTAGTGGTGTGCTTGATGCAGACCGTGCCCTTACTTATCCTGTGATGACCTCATAGCAGCAGCACATGCCCTTTTGATGGGGAGGATTATTGTAATTCCCTCCTAGAAAGGCTTCCAGCAGCTCAGCTCTGTCACTTGCAGCCTGTTCAGAATTCAGTGACACATTCGTGTGCCATCTTGAGCAAATACAATCATCCCCCTTGCACCTTCACGCACTTACTTTGTCTGTGTGAAGTAGCTGTTTGATTTTAAAGTTTGCTGTCTTAGTTTTGAAATCCTTAATGGTTTAGATCCTGGCTATTTTCAAAAACTCCTCCACAAATATCATCTTGACAGATATCACCACCTCCACAACACATTTTAGGAATCTCAGCATCACATCTTAGGTTGGCAAGTTATGTCCTTTGCCGTGATAGGCCTTCAGTTAAGGAACTCCTCCAGGAAATCTGTCTTGAGCCATATACCTTTATCAGAAACATTAAAATTACATATGTATTCTTGGCTACTTATTTTTTCTCTGTTATTATTGTTCAGTGTAATTCATATTAAGACCATATTTATTTCAGTTCCTGTCAGTAATTCTTAATGGAAGAATTCTTTGTTCTTTCAAATTTTCTTGTTCCCTTATTTGTAGAGTAACCTAAGCATACTATTGATGTAGTTATGGATAGAGACTTCTTAATGGTGTTTCGTGTTTCATGACAAAAGCACGAGCTTTTCTTGTGTTAACATATGCAGTATGTCAGTATAATTGTTTACTAAATAATACACAGGCTGCTTTTACATTTTATGTTTTTTTTTTTTTTTTTTTTTTTTTTTT